TTGGACCGGCCTCCCCTAAGCGTGCCAAAGTGTGGCAAGGTTTTGCTTGAAACCAAGGGCAAGTTTGGTTCCCAAAATTTTTGGTAAAACGATATTGTAGCGTTTTCGTTGTTATTTGGCAATTAGTATTCAATCATAGTCTAATTAGGCTTAAAAGATTCGTCGGGGCTCGCTCAAATTTTCTTGTCTTTTAAACTATGTAATTAGATTTTTTTTTTTATTTATATTTAATGTTTCATATACATGCATTTCAAAGGAAAAATTTGATGTGATGACAAGCCAGTCATAAGCTCTTGAAAATTTTGATATTTTAGGAAGGAAGCTCTAAAGTGACTCAAACACCCAAATCTAAGCTCATCACATAAACTTTGACTTGACCTTCTCTACGCAGAGCGAGCGAGCGCACGTTCCCCGTGGCCACACGACCTCTTTTTGTTCTCCGCTAGCCACGTTTCCCTTTCGCAGCCGTGTCAGCTCCACCTCCACACCGTGGGGACTCGCGACCCCGCAGCTGCGAGAGCCAACTGGAGCCAGCAGCCGCGTCAGGGGTCGAGGTCGAGGGCGCAAAAGCCGCCGCCGACTGGGACGACGGCGAACCCTGTCCCACTCCCAGTCTCCCTTCGTCTCGTTTCCCCCCAAGACAACACGAACCACCCACCCGCGACTTCGCACAAGGAAACCCAAAATCACAGAACCCCACCGCATCCAGCCTGGCTCATGCCATGTCGCAGTCCGACGCCGTCGCCGTCGCCGCCGCTGCCGCGGCGACGGATCCCTCTCCAGCCCCGGCCCATGCCATGCCGCAGCCCGACGCCATCGCCGCCGCCGCCGCGGCGACGGCGGATCCCTCCCCTGCCCCACCGGTGGTCGAGTGGCCCGAGGGCGGCGCGCTGACGCGGGACTGGGTGGCGGGGCTGGAATCCACGCTGGACTGGTGCTCGCGGCACCTCCCCGCGGACCGCCTCCCGGCGGTGCTCCCGTCCGTGCTGGTCCAGCGTCTGGTCCTGGCCGCCGCCGCCATCCTGCACCGCGAGCCCAACCTCGTCCGCGTCGACCCGCGCCCCGGCCAGGCCGTCGTCGTCGTCGGGGACGTCCACGGCCAGCTCCACGACGTCATCTTCCTGCTCCGCGACGCCGGCTTCCCGTCCGAGGACCGCATCTTCGTCTTCAACGGCGACTACGTCGACCGCGGCGCCTGGGGCCTCGAGACCTTCCTCCTGCTCCTCGCCTGGAAGGTGAATTCTGCTGCGGATTTTCCAACTCGCTGTTATGCTTCATGCGTATCTCGATTTCATTTTGTTTTGTTGGATCTGCGAGATTTATGGGAATAGATTGATACATAGCTATAAAGTTAATAGATTTTCCATAGGTAGTGCAAACTGGCTCAGTTAACTAATAATCAGCCTGTTCGCTTGCTCGTAAACGATCGTAAATTTCGGGGCCGCTGGACTGGTGCTCGCGGAACAGTGCCTTTTCTCTCACACCAAAACCAGTCCCGGCCAGCTCCACGACGTCATCTTCCTGCTCCGCGACGCCGGCTTCCCGTCCGAGAGTAGTAAATAATCCACGATACGACTCGCTGTTATGCTTCATGCGTATCCCCGATTTCGTTTTAGATTGCCCCTAACAATTTGAATGATGTCTCCCCTTTGTTTGGATTGGACTTAATAACAGTTATTATAAGTTTCATCATTGTGCGAGATATGCAACTAATTGAAATCAACATAGAAATTATGAGTCATGATCCACACGTTATTTTATTTTTGGGAGTACTTGTTATCGTTTCCTAGGCATTCAACGGCTGAAATATCAATGATGTGATATATATTTAGACATTTGACTGTTATTAACTCACACAAGTATATTTGGATTCCATTTTGTTTTGTTGGATCTGCTAGATTTATGGGCGTAGATTGATTGATAGCAAAGGCAGTTAATAGATTTTCCACAGGTAATGCAAACTGGCTGAGTTAACTAACAATGATGTCTCCCCTTTGTTTGGATTGGACTTATATAACAATAGATAGCTAGACAGTTAATAGATTGTCCATAGGTAATGCAAACTGGCTGAGTTGTTTTCATGGCAGTGCTGACTCTAACGAATAATGATGTCTCCCCTTTGTTTGGATCGGATTTATTAACAGTTATAAGTTTGCTCATTTTGCACAATATGCAACTAAATGAAATCGACATAGAATTGTGAGTCATGATCACACATTATTTATTTTTGGGGTACTTGTTCTCGTTTCCTCAACATTCAATGGCTGAAATATCAATGATGTTATATATTTAGACAGTTGGTGTTAACTCGCACAAGCATAAAAACTTTCAGTTTAACAACCAAACAGTGTAACAACATAAATGGTTGCTAATTAGTGGTTCTTGTTTTCTTTCAGGTGCTACTCCCGAATTGTGTGTTCCTTCTTCGGGGAAACCACGAGTCCAAGTACTGCACGTCAGTATATGGTTTCGAGAAGGAGGTAATGACTAAATACAAAGATCATGGCCCTCAAGTTTATCGGAAGTTTTTAAGATGTTTTGAGGACCTTCCTCTAGCGACAATAATAGCAGGATGCGTGTACACTGCACACGGAGGTGTCTTCCGTGGAACAATTGTAGTGCCGTTAAAGAGATCAAAAAAGGGAAAGAAGGGTCACAAACACAAAGCGGATTCCACTGTTGATCCCACTTACATGAAACTTGGATCCTTGGATGAGTTATTGAAAGCAAGGAGGACTGTTCTTGACCCTCCTTGGGAAGGCTCAAATTTGATACCTGGGGATGTGCTCTGGTCTGACCCTTCCTTGCAGATGGGTCTTTCTCCAAATAAAGAACGAGGCATCGGTTTGCTTTGGGGTCCTGATATCACTCAGCAGTTTCTGCGGACAAATCATTTGAAGGTTTGTTTTGTTTCATTTATTACTTTTTCTGTTATGTTTCAAATTGTTTGATCCGTAGAGTTATTTCTTACTTACCAACTAATGCCTAGTGATAATGAAGTGTTAGGGTGCCTGTTTGTGCCTGTTTTAGTACCTAAATGCTTGCATTTTATATTATTGTGTGAATTTTAAAATTATTCTAAATTTCATCTTAAGAAAGTGTTTTGGTTGTTTGGATTACAGAGCTATAATTTTAAAATTATTCTAAATTTCATCTTAAAATTATTTTTAGAATATCCAATTGATTGAAATGTGTGGTTGGTTAGTTGAGGATTATATAGAACTTAGTAGCTTCAAGCGACAAGCATGCAGTACCATCCAGTGTTTCTCTTTTTGAAAATTGGTGTGTTGGTATAGGTGTCACCTAATATGTGGATGCAGTGAATGTGAGATAATACTTATTGAATTGAGTTACATGATTCTAATTTCTTCTGTAGTTCTGTATTAGTGTTCAATGATATATCTTTGAACTTGGTCAGTTGGTATGTTTTGTCTTGTAGCCCGTTGAGCATTTAGTTCCATAGTATTTGAAAGTTAGCATCATGGTAGAACTATATTTATTTTAAGTTCACATGCTTACTTCATCTTTTCATTCAACAAAGCTAATCATCAGGTCACATGAAGGTCCAGACGCAAGAGACAAGCGACATGATCTCTTAGGAATGGATAATGGATATACAATTGATCATGAAGTAGAATGTGGGAAACTAATTACTCTCTTCAGTGCACCAGACTACCCACAATTTCAGGTGATATTTTTTTTGCTGTTCATCTTCGATATCGAATTCCTTGGTTTTTGTTGCAAGTTCTGTGAGAGATTTATTCAACTTCTAAAACTTTAAAAGGGGCGTACCCAGTGCAGAGAACTCTCGCTCTGTGCGGGGTCTGGGGAAGGGTGTTAGTGGCAAACCTTACCCTTGCCTGTGCAATGCGAGGAGACCGTGACTCGAACCCGGGACCTTCCGGTCACAGGCGGTAAGACTCTACCGCTTGCACCAGGCCTGCCCTTCAAACAACTTCTAAAACTTTGTGACTAATATATAAGTTCTGCCTCCTTTGCATATTATGGTGATAATATGGCGTTAACTCTTTGTTTCTGGACCTGGTATAGGCTTCAGAGGAGCGACACAACAATCGTGGAGCATATATTGTCCTTAATCCACCTGATTTTGCTACTCCTGTTTTCCATAGCTTTGAAGCTGTAAAGCCTCGACCTGCGGTATGTGACTCAATCCTCAATAATATACTCAGGACTACTTGATTTTGGGCGGCTTGGGACTAACAGGCTTTGTTGTTGTTGTTCCTATATATGCAGGCCCATCCGTTCTATGATTTCGAAGAAGTGATAGACTCAGATGAAGAGTTGAATTTGGACGCCATGTCATGATGACTTGTCATGTACCTTTTGTATTTATCACTCCAATTGGCAATTGTTGCCAAGGAAGCGTGGCAACAAGGTTCTTGTTGTAGCTAATGCCAACGTAGCAACGTTGCAGGTTTCTGGATGGCCTCCTGTCATGCACGCCAATCTGATTTGTTGGTTCAGTTTAGGTTGATCTGTATCAAAAATTAAGTGACTCTGAAACATGGCATCATCCAAAGATTGAATGTGGGAAACCAGTGGCTGCTAAAATCTTAATCTATATACCTTCTTGTTGCTGAAAATGCTGATGCATTCGATCATTCAGAGGAAGAGGAAGATTTGTTGCCCATGCATCTCATGTTATCTGAAGAAGCGTATATCTGCCTTTAGAGCATACATGTGACATGCTTGTAAATAAAATAACGCATGTTTGGCCAAAACCTAATACACTGTTAGAAGTATGCTTTCCGTTTTTTTATCATTTCCATTGTTTTCCAAGAAAAACATTTCCAGCTTTTCTCGAATCGTGAAAGAAAATATTAGTCCGAAAGGATAAGCATGACTGTATGTACGAGTAAGAGAAGCCAAATGCATTTTGTGAACTCAGAAGAAGTGGCTCTGCGTTTTCCTCGATTAGTGCTCCCAACTCATCAGACAAATCTTACCGCTGCCAATCAGGCAATCAGCAATCAACAACAATGGCGTCACCGTCCATCAGCTGCCCCTGCTCCCCCACGGCTGTCCCCGCGGGAGCCGGAGCCGGCTTGCGCCGATCGCCGTCCTCCGTCCACCCGTGGCGCCATCACCACCAGCAGCGGCAGCAGCAGGCGAGGCGACTGGTGATGGCGGCAGCGGCGAGGCGGCGGTACAGGGGGACGGTGAGGAGGGAGGCGGCGCTGGCGGAGCTGGTGGAGCGGAAGATTGCGGAGGCGATGGAGGCGTGCGGAGAGCGCGGCCAGGACGACGAGGGGTGCCACGTGGCGTGGGACGAGGTGGAGGAGGTGAGCCAGGCCAGGGCCGACCTCCGGAGCCGCATCGCCGAGGCCCCCGGCGACCCGCTCGAGCCCTTCTGCGCGCACAACCCCTCCGCCGATGACTGCGCCGTCATCTACGTCGACGACTGACTGACCGCACGCCGTCCGTGCGCGCGCCCATGACGATGGTCCGTCCGCCAACCGCAGGTCGCTACTGTACGTTCTAGTTGGGGTCTGTTCACTGTTTGCAGATTGATCGATCAGAGATTCTAGATGAAACATGTTTCAGGCTTTCAGCTTTGCGTCCAATTCAATTATCACGGACACGTTGGTCATAAAATGACATGACACGATTGTCATCGTTAGCGTCTATTCATCAGATCAGAGAGCGCAAGCAAGAGTTTATTTCTGTCGTTCGTCCGGTTCAACTGTCTGGTAAGCACGTACTTTTTTTAATGAACAGTATTTTTTTCTCACAACAAATTAGTTAACAGTGCTTTTAGTCATGGCTTATCAGCCCAGCGAACAGGTTAATCGGCGTTTCAACTGCCCTGTACTACTCTGCATCTGAACCTGAACGTGACGAGCATTTTTACGTGTGCGTGTGGCCTGTTCCTGAATCTGAATGTGACGAGCAATTTCTACGTGTGGCCTGCTTCAGTGGTTCTTTAATCCTGAACGATAGTGGAGTGGTTCTTTAATCCTGAACGATAGTGGTGGGTGACCGCTGGTGCTGGCGCTGAGCAACTTACAAAAAAAACAGGGACAGAAACAATAGGCTTGTTGTTCCTTGTTGGGCATCGTCGTCACTCGCCTTGTTGGGCAACTACATCTCATCGTAGAATTTGTGGAGCTGATGATGATACATGGGAGCATTCTTTGCTTTTCCGCACAATGTCCAAATGTGTTTTGGGCTATGCTGGATGAGGAGGTAACAGATTTAATTGCTCATTTGGGTATCTCTGACCCAAAGCAATGGGTTACCTTTATGTGCTACACAAAATTCCTCGAGCTGATGGGATACGAATCCTTGTTACTTGTTGGGCAATATGACAAGCAAGAAGGAAGGCAATTCACGAAGGAGTCTTTCAGAGCCCTTTCTCCATAATGGTTATGATCAATCGACTGATTGAAGAGCTGGAATGGTAAGGGCAATGGAGCTTAAGAGAGGGAACCAACTTCAATCTAAACAAAAAAAAACTCAGCGTTCGAAAGCACCAGAGCAAGGTAAATGCAAAATAGATGCTGCTACAGACCGAAGGAATGGCTTGCTTGGAGGCACTAGCTCTTGTTGAAGATTGTGGTGTTAGAAGGATTATAGCGGGCATCAGATTGCCTAAACATTGTGAGGAACATTAATGAAATGCCTCTTTGTGCTTATGTGATGATCCTCAAGGATATTCAGGAATGGGCAAAATCCTTTGATTGTGTGTGTTCTGCATATAAAGGTAGGGAATGCAATAGGGAGGCTGATTGTCTAGCTAAATATGCATGGGGGAATTCCTTGTGTGCCATTAAAAAAGATTGCAATGCCTTGTGTGTGAAAGGTCTAGTTTGGTTTTGGTTAATTGATGAAACCCTAAGTGCTAACCTATTTTATCAAGGTGATTTTGAGATAGGTAGCACTACTCCAAGTGATGAATCAATAACGAAGATCATGACAATGGTGATGGCATGGTGATGATCAAACGCTTGAACTTGGAAAAGAAGAAAGAGAAAAACAAAAGGCTTAAGGCAAAGGTATAAATGATAGGAGACATTTTGTTTTGGTGATCGAGACACTTAGCGAGTGTGATCACATTTAGGATTGATAGCCGTACTACTAAGAGGGGTGAAACTCGTATCGAAATGCGGTTATCAAAGTGCCACTAGATGCTCTAACTCATTGCATATGCATTTAGGATCTAGTGGAATGCTAACACCCTTGAAAATGTTTGTGAAAATATGCTAACACATGTGCATAAGGTGATACACTTGGTGGTTGGCACATTTGAGAAGGGTGGAGAAGTTAGAAGTGAAATGGAGTTGGTCGCAAAGATGCTGGCGTCGGTCAACTGATCGGACGCTGGGTCGCTCTGCGTCCGGTCGGACTGACATGTCGGCACAGTACCTAGGGTATTGCACCGGACGCTGGGCAGTGTCCGGTCGAGGTGGATCGGACACGTCCGGTCGGCAAAAGTCGGTTTTTGGAGCTTACTGGAAACGACCGGACACTGGGGTCTGAGCGTCCGGTCAGTCAATAGCCGTTGAGATCTGGCGGCTCAGGTTTAACTCAGAATGACACGTGGCTTACATCGGGCGACCGGACGCTGGGTCCAGCGTCCGATCAATATGACCGGAGCGTCCGGTCACCCCGTGTTGTGCCTAGTGAAGGAGTACAACGGCTCTATTTCGTGGGGGCTTCTATTTAAGCCCCATGGCCGGCTCAAGCTCACTATCTTGACCATTTTCATTGATATAGCAACCTTGTGAGCTTAGCCAAAGCCCTCCCACTCATCTCCATCATTGATCCATCATCATTGTGAGATTGAGAGAGAATCCAAGTGCATTGCTTGAGTGATTGCATCTAGAGGCACTTGGTATTCGTGTTGCGCTGTGGATTTCACTTGTTTCTCTTGGTGGTTGCCACCACCTAGACGGTTGGAGCAGCGGTGGAGGATTGACACGAGTTGGTGATTGTTCGTGGCCGTCTCCGGTGATTGTGAGGGGAGTTGTACCTTCCCCGGCGGAGTGCCGAAAGGTAACTCTAGTAAATTGCCCGTGTCATTGAGTTACCTCACTTATGGGTCAGTTCTTGCGGTGTCCTATCGTGTGGACGAGGTTTGTGAAACACCTCTTAGCCGCCGAACCACCAAATGTTGGTCGACACAACGGGGACGTAGCGTGTTGGCAAGCACGTGAACCTCGGGAGAAAATCGATTGTCTCTTGTCTTTGGCATTCTCCCGGTGATTGGCTATATATTCATCTTGTGATTGGTTCATCCCCTACACGGCGGTATAATCACCCTACTCACTTATTTACATTCTTGCAAACTAGTTGATATAAACTCTTTAGTGTAATTAGAGTTGAGAGCTTGCTTTATTATTTACATTCATCTAGTTAAGCTCTTTAGAGTAGCAAGATTAAGAGCACTTAGTGAGTAGTTACATAGCAAGTTTGTATGTCTAAATAATCATTGCAACTAGAATTGTTGGATAGGTGGCTTGCAACCCTTGTAGAGCTAGAGCAAGTTTGCATTACGCTATTTGTCATACTAATCAAATTGCTCTAGTTGATTTGTAGATTTTTAAATAGACTATTCACCCCCTCTAGCCATATTAGGACCTTTTAGTGTACCTCTAAAAAAGTTCAGCGGTCTTCAGTGCCACTGCTCCAACTTTTTTGTGCCATCCATGCCACTGCCGTCAGTTTAGGCTCTAACGCCCTCAAACTGCAGGTGTGAAAAGTCGAAAATACCCTTATGTCTAAATATGTCATTAATTTTGATCTTCTTAACGACTTCAAATAAAAAACTCAAAACTAGAAAGTTGTAGATCTCGTCGAGATCTATAATTTTCATATAAAAATTATCTTCATTTAATTTTGCAAAAAAATATGATTTGATATGATTAATATATCTTAGAAAAATCATATCTTTTTTTGTGGAATTAAATGAAAATAAATTTTATATGAAAATTATAGATCTCGACGAGATCTACAACTTTCTAGTTTTGAGTTTTTTCATTTGAAGTCGTTAAGATGCTCAAAAAAATAATGACATATTTAGACATAAGGGTATTTTCGACTTTTCATACCTGCAGTTTGACGGCGTTAGAGCCTAAACTGACGGCAGTGGCATGGAGGACACAAAAAAGTTGGAGCAGTGACGCTGAAGACCACTGAACTTTTTCAGGGACACACAGGGCATTACGATCTTTTTTAATGACATACAAGGAATTCTCCCATATGCATGTTCTCTTGGAGCTGGCCGGCATGTGTGGCTTAGCTCTTCTCCTATATTTCTGAATGTAAACATGTGAATTGAGCAATAAAAACGGACTTGCTAGCGCCCAGACGTCAGATCCGAACGCTGTCCGCACAGGGAGCGAACGAGCGCCTAGCACATCGGGCTCGTGAGGGAGCGCACCAGTAGTGGTCCAGCGTCACCGGCCACTTTCTACGTGCATTCCATGTGCAACACATGTTCTACTTTTGAAACATTCAGACGCAACAGTTGCAACATACAAAAGAAGACAGATGAAACACTTAAAACAAACGTCTGACCCACTTTCGAACTCCTGAAAAACATTTGAAAACAATTTCAAACACATGCAACATCTGGATGAAACACTTGCAAACATACGTATGAAAACACCTGAAAACACTTAAAACATATGCTTGCAACATGCATGTATATGCAACATTCGTCTCGAACAGATGAAACATTTAGAACATACACTTGAAATATAAGTGTATAGCTATTACAACATGTGCAATATCCCGATATACTTGTGCAATATCGACATACAACGCTTGCAACATACCTCAGAAACATCCGAAACACTTGAAACATACTATTGCAACATGCGCTTTCAGCGTAGCATCTGCTTGCTGCTTGGACAAATAGAGGCTTGTCGACGCGAGCTTGATGTCGGCACGGAGCTCGAAGCAGCGGAATGGCGCGGCGGTCGCTGGTGTGGAGCTCGGCGACGGCACGGACCTTGGCAGGGGCAGGGGCAAGCGGATGGAGCACAGCCGCGACAGGATGCGTGAGTTCAGGAGCGAGCGCTTAGCACGTCGGGCTCGCCGTGCGCGGCACGGGCAGGCGGCGGGGGCGCGAGCGAGGGCAGGGTCCATCCTGCTAGTAGAACGAGCGGGTGACACGGGGCGGGAGCGGTGGGCGAGTGCTGGATCCACCTGGATGGACGGACGCCACGTAAGTAGGGTTTCCGCTAAAAAAAACAACGGAGCAACCCGACTGAGTTTAGATGGGTCGTTGGGCTTAGATGGGCTGACTATCGTGCGGCCTACTAACCGAGTTTCAGAAGCTGCCGTTGGATGGGAGCGGACGGTCGGTTGCCCTGACTGCAGCAGGCCGACGTCGCCCTGGGCGAAGTGACGATTTCGTTGCGAATGGGCCTGTTCGGCTGGTATTACCTAAGCTGTTTTGTCGTGGGTGAAAAATTCTGTAAGCCGGCTGTCAAGCGAACAGGCCCGAAGGCCTACGAGACCATCTCCTCCGCCGCCGCAGCCGCGATGCCGACGGTGAGCGTCGGCCGGGACCGTCTCTTCGCCGCCCTCGGCCGGACCTACAGTAATTTGTATTCCTTTACTCAGTTCCTCCCCAAAACCCCAGCTCTCCCTTCCGCGACAACTCGTAACCCATCCTCCTGGCAACAGCACAGGAGGAGTTCAAGGCGCTCTGCTTCGAGTTCGGCATCGAGCTCGACGACGTGGTGAGCATCTCTCTTTGCCGTATCCCCTCCCATTCTCTGTGCTGAGAGTGGCGTTTTCTGAATTTTGAGTGTTTTGGGGTGCGTGTGCAGACGACGGAGAAGGCTATTATCAGGAAGGAGAAGCACCTCGAGGACGACGGCGAGGTGGACGACGATGACGAGGTCATCTACAAGATAGAGGTTGCCGCCAACAGGTCAGCAAATTTTGTTTTCGTCAATTGAATCGATGTTACTACAATACTAGGTAGGTATACAGGATTTTGGAAACCCGGTGAAAACTTGGAACAATGTATGCAGATATGATTTGCTATGTCTTGAAGGATTAGCAAGAGCTCTCCGTGTTTTCACGGGGACTGAAGGAAGCCCTGTATTCCAAGTTTCATCCATCCCTCGTGGTTCAATTCTTCAGATGCATGTTAAACCAGAGGTAAGTTCATGTTCTTTGGTCTCGCAGTGCATTTCAAATAATTTCGTAGAAGAAAAAGCTAGATTTCTTCAGTTTTCCTTCTCTAGGTTGTAGAGAAAATTGTACAGCAGCATTGTTTGGTGTATGTTATAACCTGGCGATGCTCTTGAACCAGTTGATTCTTTTTGGGATTTTGCATTGGATATGGAATGTTGTGTCTCCGGAGTAATGGAGAAATGATGTGTGAAACTGTCATTTTGAAGGAAAAAAAGAAGCGATACCCTACTGACATTTTCCATGCCATTAAATATGTATAGTTTTTTGGTGCATGCTCTTTGTAATGTTTTATTATTGTCATGAAAGCGATTATAGCTTGAAGCTGGCGCTAAATGTTAAGACATTAACATATTCATGATTTTGATATTTGAGCTCTCTGCACTGGGTACGCCTATTATTACTAATTCTAAAAGCTATGTATTAATGGATTAGTGTTGTATTTGCTAATGTTGATGCTGATCGTATTCTCCAGAATGCTGTTTTTTTTCAGACTTCAAAAATTAGACCATACGTAGTTTGTGCTGTCCTAAGGGGGGTAGCTTTTGATGAAGCAAGATACAACAGCTTCATTGATCTTCAAGACAAACTCCACCAAAATATCTGCCGGTATAGCTTATCTTATTGCTTTTTGCTTTTCATTGTATTGATATCAGGATCGTACTCAATACAATGATTAATTAACTCAGACTACTCCATGATGGATAACAGGAAGAGAACTCTCGTTGCTATAGGCACCCATGATCTGGACACTCTGCAAGGACCCTTCTCATATGAGGTAAAATTATCACAGTGCTGCAATAAGCTAATTTTGTAGCTCAATCTTGGGTATTATCTTATTCACCCTGCGTTCATGGCAATCTCTGTCATAGACTTGCACACTGTTCCTATGTTTATTGGCTATATATATACTATATAGTATACACAATAAAGCAAGCATCATGACTACATTATTGGCTAGTTCATTTCTGCAATGTTCCACATCTACACATATACACAAAATAGCAGATTAGCAGTACAGCACCTTAGGATGGAGTACCAGCAAGCAGGCAGAGTAGCAGAGGGGCAGCACAGCAAGCAATCAGACTAGCAGAGGGGCAGCAGCACAGCAAGCAAGGAGACGGCATTAGCACTGCAGATTGAGAGATAGGGGAGGAGGGAAAGGGCACACTCACAATCAGCGTAGTCATCACGTAGAAGGGTGGTGGCTTCACCACAGGAACGGTGTTGGACAAAGAATAGCACGCAGGAGACGAAGAATGGTGTGTGGGCGAGGAATTGCGGCAGCGTGGGAGAAGGAAATCAGTGCTGACTCCGTTCTCTGTGTTTTTGGTGACGTCCAGACACACTTATGCTAACCTAACGGGCCAAATGGGCAGCCCAATAGCACACCTCTAAGCCCAGTTGAGCAGGCCCGTGAATAGGACAGCCAGCCACAGGATCCAGCTCGGACGACTAGGTTTCTAGTCGAGCTAGTCGCCTTGATAACCCTGATTGACCTCCAGAGGCCGACTAGGCCGATTAATCGCGACTAATCGTGATTAGTCGGATGACTTGTAAACAACTGCTACTCCCTATGCTTTCGAGTTTATATTTGTTCAGAATGCATGACAGCATGTATACATGAAAGTATTAACTAGTTTTTTCTCATAAAAGGGATAAGAAATTGTTATTTTAATAACCTTTTGACTAGGAAAAGTAATAACCATCGGTGTATACTGCAGCCTGAATATCCAAACCAACTGTTATAAAGAAACTATTATTTAGCTTCTAGCATGGAGGAACCTTAAACAGTTTTAACTTAAGATTTGCGGCATTATAACTAACTTACAGCTGAATAATTTATTTACGTTGGTCAATATTTTTGGTGGAGAAGATAGATTTCTTAGGAATTGGTTGACTATGTTATATTTTGTACCATGCATATATGAACAAGCCTCTTAAATATAACATTTTTTGTTGTTAACCAAAGATATAACCATTGCTGACATGTGGCTATATAAATGAACTTTGTATCATCCTTTATATCTGACATTTGATTTTTTTTCTCTCCCTAGGCTCTACCACCACATGAAATCAACTTTGTCCCATTAAAGCAGGTAAAAGTAATTTATTTAGTTCAATCAGATGATTTTTATGTTATATTACTTGTTGTTTTCTGATGATCATTACAATTTTTAGTAGGTTGCTGAGAAGGCAACATTTTTGGACTCACTGTTCTAACTTTTGTTAAACTGATGGAATTCTATAAAGTAAGTAGCTACATCAGAGTGTTTGTTGTGTCATTGTGCACTAAATTGGGCCATGTATCAGGATGGAAACTGTTAATTTTTCTAGCTTGACGCTTAATATCATAGGTTCTAGATCTTAATATATTCTTTTAGGTGCTATGTTCCTTGTATATTTTTATTACTGACATCTCTTGCTTTGTGGCAGTCAGACATGAAACTGAAGAAGTTCTTGCTTATAATTTAGAATTCTCCAGTGTACCCTGTTATCTATGATAGCAACAGGTAAAATAATGACATGCTCTTATCATTTCATTTGTTGACCTCTTTCTTTCAAGGCCTATGATCTTTTCGAAAAAGACTAATAATTACTAGAGAGGACAACAATAATTAAATCGAAAGATTTCTGTTGGCACAGCTCTCTAGAAATCTGTCTATCTAGTTAAACTTCAAAAAACATTGTTCATTTTTCAAGGAAAAGCTGTTCTCTTAAATATATTCATTTTACTGATAAAGTGGCCCATGTTCCGTCATGAGTGCCATCCTTTCTTTAACGTTTATGATATAGAAACTGTTAATACTGGTGTCGCTGCACAGCTGACATTGCAATACTTTGCAGGACTGTATTATCATTACCTCCTATCATCAATGGTGCACACTCAGCTATCACCCTTGCAACAAGGAATATCTTTATTGAATGTACAGCTACTGACCTTACCAAAGCAAATATAGTGCTGAATACAATGGTGGGTGATTTTATGCTGTATTTTAGATGGGAACATGTCCTCTAGTTTAAGAAGTTGAAACTTATTGTATTGATGCGCTTGTTACTTATATTTCTAGGTTACCATGTTCTCTGAGTATTGTGAGACTAAATTTGAAGTGGAACCTGTTGAAGTGGTACATTATGATGGCAGGAAAACAGTTTACCCTGATCTTTCATGTTACAAAATGGATGTTTCATTATATGACATTCTTGGGCCTATTGGCATCTCCCAGGACGAGAAACAGGTACCTGCAAGTTCCTGAAAGTTTTAGCAAGGATGTTTTCAATCTGAATTAATAACTGTGCATCTGAAACTGTAGGTTGTCTGTCCTTTGAATAAAATGCAACTGCAAGCTGAAAGTCACTCATTGAAGGGGGAGCCTCGCATTTCAGTGTCTGTTCCTCCAACAAGAAGTGATATTCTGCATGCCCGTGATTTGTTGGAGGTATATTTGCTATTATCTAGCTGTTTCAACTGTTTTTGTAGGTATTTGTTTGCTGTCATTGTTAACTGGTTTAATTTGTGTTTGGCTTCTACAAAGGACATTGCTATAGCTTATGGATTCAACAATGTTCCAAAATCAAAGCCCAAGTGTATGACAATAGGAGGAAGGCAACCATTAAACAGGTTCTCAGATAAAATTCATGCTGAGGTACTTTAGGTATTCGATATGTCTTTGTGGCATCTTGCTGATATTTGATGTCTTTGTGTTTCTTTTTCTTGTGTTTTTAACTTTTTATCTGTTAATCAGTTGATCTTTACTGAAAAATCCTTTGTGGCCAGGTTGCAAGAGGTGGTTATATGGAGGTGCTCACATTTATCTTGTTTTCACACGAAGAAAACTTTGACATGTTAAACAGAGCAGATGACAAAAGTAAAGCAGTCATTATCGCAAACCCTCGCACTTCTGAATTCGAGGTAAATTTTCCCCGATTTTATCGTCAACCACCCCAGTACTTGGTGCAGCCATCAGTCAGCTCTCCTATGTGCTCTCAATTAACTATAGTGCGAAGAATAGTGTAAATTTTTGGTTGATTGATGCCTTTCTTGCAAAACCAAAAAAAGTTAATTCATAAACTAATTGCAGGATAATCATCTTTGCTGCGTTTATTTACTGATGCATCTTGCTGGTGTATCATGATTCTGCGTTTTCTGTTATTCTATGACTTCTAGGTGCAATTAGCCGTACATTCTTGTAATCCTATTATTTAACTTTTGATTGTTCCTCATCTGACTTCTCAGCCTTATCTTTCATTTTAGTTCTGCATGTTCTACACAGGCAACTAGGGACAAGCATAATTGACCAAACCTGAGAAACAGAACCGAACTAACCCAGACCGAATCCGAAATGACAGAAACTGATTTTCTTTTTTTGTCTCTAATTCGGCCTTAACCCGGTAACTGAAGAACCTGAAAAAAAACAGCACTGCACATAGAAGCTGAGTAATACATTTGGCCTAGCCCAATAACCCTTCCCAACCCTCTCTATATAAGAGATATCTCACTCTGATTCTTCACCACCTGGCCCCAATCCGTCCACTTCCTCCTGGTCACCCACAACACCCCACCTGTCCTCTCTAGCATCGTGGCACATAGCGATGGGTCAGAGGCGCCTGCATGGCTACGCCCCCCTCCTCCTCCTGACTCAACCACTCGGTAGTGCCTCAGCGGGTGTGGTCTGCCTTCTCCTGCCTGTGGCCCGCGCCTTCTCTCACATATGTAGAGCTGTTGATAGGCGGCTGACCAGGGAGATGAGGTTGCCCTCCAAGCTGCAGCGACGGTTGGTGACCTCCTCCCTAGTCCCCGAGGACCAAGCCAGTGATCACGTCTAGCTGCCGCTGGCTGAGGCAGCCACCCGATGTCAAACCTAGCTGACGGCAACGGTTCCTCCCTGCTGAAGGCAGATGATTTATGCTTCATCCTTTGTTGATCTGTGTTTCATCATGCTCATTTGTGTTCACTTACAAAATCTACCATTGTATTACATAGGTGATTTTGTGATTTATTTTTCGATGTGTATTGCTAGCTTGGTTAGTTCAGTCATGGCCGAGACCAAACCGAACTAACCGAGACCAAATTTGCTACATCTTGATAATTTTTAGGAACCAATCAGTACCCAGTTTTTTATACCTGAAATTTGAGGAAAACCGATGAACCGAACCCATTGATTTGGTCTGACCGAATGCCCACCTACTGACAACTCATTTTCTCTCCATATTTGATTGCCAAGGAAATAAACATTGTTCTACAATGTCATTCATTTGCTATAATTATTCTTTTACTTGTTATCTTGTTGGTTTGTTATAATCATTTTTTTCCTTGTTACCTTGCAGGTTGTTAGAACTAGTCTGATGTCGTGTTTATTGAAAACACTGAAACATAATATAGACCATCCAAGACCTATAAAGGTACTTTTTGAAAAGAAGCAATATTTATATTTGCTATATAAGTGATAAGGATATTGTCTATGGAATGTTGTGTCACACAAAATGCCAACCAAATAAAGAAACCAGGAAAAAAAAACTTCAAATTTCTCTTGCTGTCAGCAGTGTCATTTTGCCTATTGTTTTCCTTTCCCTTCCAACTTAATTGTGATTGCATGATAATACTCTCCTTCAAATACTACATTTCAACCATAGTATAAGCCCATTTAGGATTTCTTGATCAAACCTTTTAAACATAGACAATGAATATCTAAGAAATCAAGTAGATTGGGTAACATAAGTTTTATGTTGCTAGATTAGTTAAAAAATACTTTTATAATATATAGCTCTTTCTATTTGGAACAACATGTTATTTAGAATATTACCTGTCAAAGTGTCCTTGGAGAGTCAAAGTGTCATTGGAGACCATGTGTCAATGTTCTAATGGATTTTGGGATTAGAGAAAGTAACTATCTAGTTCTTCATTTTACCCATGTCAACTTTAATTTATCAATACATAGTCAATTTTAAATGGAAGAGCTTTAATACAGCTTACTGTTGCCATGGTTATGATCTTCCTTCTAGATGGAAATGTTCCCATGATTTTGATCATTCAAATATTTACCATTGTAGATTTTTGAAGTTGGTGATGTTGTGATGCTGGACTCGTCACGTGATGTTGGTGCCTCTAATAATCGCAGGCTTGCAGCTTTGTACTGCAATATGGTTTCTGGATTTGAGGTATAAGCTTAGGAAAAAAAAACATCTGTATAGGCATGTATTTACATAGCTTCTATGTAGGCCTATGCTAACTTGATTAAATTGTCCAGGAAATTATGGGATTGGTGGATACTGGATAGTATTGTCAAAGTTGTCAGAGCTCCGCATGTCAACTTTGGCGAGAATTACTATGTACCTACAGATGTAAGAATAACTTCATAAATTGTCTTGTCTTTTGCTGTTGTCAACATTTATATACTGATTTCATTTCTTTAGGAACCTGAGTTCTTCCCGAAAAGACAATGTAAAATTGTTACAAGTGATGGCAAGCAAGTTGGCTACTTAGGAATTGTCCATGCTGAGGTACTTACTCTGCCTCGCTTTTGAATGCTGTTATAACCTGTGTGCTGCTTAAGTACCAGTAGTTTAGCTGCCATAGGAATGAAGATTTCTGAGGATAAAATGAATAAAGTTAGCACCATATTATATATTTCTTTTTGTTAGGTAGCACAATCTTATACGCTTGAATTATGAGCTACTCCAATTCCATAGGTGATCTATACTAAGAGTAAGAGATGTACTGGCAGAAATAAGAACTTAGGAACACAAATGATATTATCCGAGAACAAGAAAATCATAACATGGATACACGTGATTTGTTTTGCCAAATTTATAGCACTATTCCTTGAGTTCTGCTAGTGCTTGCAGGTGCTAAGGAAATTTGGCATTCCGGATCCCTGCACTTTCGTTGAGATGGACCTCGAAGCACTGTTGTAATGCCGTCAACCTGAAACAAAGAAATGCTTGAAGTTGATGCCTGCCACATATCTGTTTTGTTCAGTAAAAATGCATGGGGTACCAGCAAGAAGTGCATATACCCAAGCTGGAATGTCTCAGTGTGCTTCTCAATTGCACTGGATTTTGCTATGGGAAAGAAGGTACGACGATACGGCACATACCCTGCCTAAAATTTGTTAGGGACTTATGTTTCCATTGTAAGAGCTCTTCCCTATCCAACTTTCTATCAAAGGTGTACCTTATATCCTTTTGTAAACCATCGGGTGTCCAAAAGTTATTTCTGCAACTCTTTGCACCTCTACATGAGATGAGCATGATGTAAAGCAGCCTCAGAATATTAGATTTGTAACATCTCCTTGTTGAAACACATTGGGCAAGGTTCCCATGAAAACTATCTCATGTGATCGTGAATGACATCAAAATTTGGTATTGTGTGTTTACATTGCAACTTTTGACGAATCCATGAGTCCATGGCATTTCATCTGCCCTTTACTCTGAAACCAAGCCTGTCAGAATGTGAGGAGCATTTCTGTTTGTGGCACTGACCCTGAATTGTGCGAATCCTCAACGGCAGTGGTGGGTGACTGACGACTGCGGAGCAACTCAGAGAAACCACAAACCAACCAGTTGCAGAAACAATAGTGCCTGTTGGGTATCGTTTTCAGCTGGAGCACTCACTCACGTTTCCAAAGCGATCATGTATACCCTACCCTCCCCAAAATTAGGACATTGTCCATGCATGTGCATCGATAAGTGGGTAGCTCGAATGCTCGATCAACGGCGTGCGCTTTTTAATCAGTCAGCTCATCAGAGAGAGAGAGATACGTAATGTGCAGTGATCTCTGAGACCGCGATAGGCACGTGAGGTAAACTCGCCCAGTGCTCCATTTGGTGCGGTGGCAGGCAAAGACCTGTCACGTCGAATCTTTGATACCAATTTGGCCTATTAAGCATAGGCTAATTACAAAACTAATTACACAGAATGAGGCTAATTTATGAGATGAATTTATTAAGTCTAATTAGTTGCTAATTATGGATTAAATAAGGCTTAATAGATTCTTCTAGCTAACTAATCTACTCATGTGCAATTAGTTTTATAATTAACTTATATTTAATTCTTCTAATTAGCATCCGAACGTTCCTAAACATTAGCCCGTGGATCAGACAGACGAAACTCAACATGCTAACCATGGTGCTGCACAGGCACAGGCAGCGCGACGCCTGTCTGCCCACAGCTCTGCTCACACCCGATGCGTGTGCTTGTGCTTGCAGCCGCATTGGTCGAGGTGGTGGCTCCTGCCTGGAATCCTGACGTAGCATGGCCATGGCCGTGGCATATGCACACCACCACCGGCCCGCCGCCACTGATTGGGTACTGTACGTAATTTGGTAGGGAGTAGTATAGTATTGGTAGGAGTGAGTATACTCTACACTTTGCTCGTCCTCTCGGACTCTGCATGTCGTATGTATTGTTGGCTTCCATTCCATGGGACGTACTGGACGTGGATGGGGCTGCTCCGTCCAGCGTGCACAGACTGAGAGAGTGGGGAGGACGGAGCTGGGAGCGGATTCGGGTGGATCCCAGCCAGCTCAGGCCCAACATGTAACATGGCCGCACCCGCAAGTACGTGCAGTTTGTTGGTGTGGCCCTGTGGGCCCTGGCGCCCCGCCCGCCGACGTGGGGTCCAGGGCCCGGGCCGGTCCGTGGGTACGAGTACGAGTACGAGCGAATCGCCTACCTATCCAGACGTACCACGCCGCATTGAATTTCTTGCAGGCATAGATAGTTGGCCCGGCCGCGTGGTCGTCGCTCGGAGATAGAAAAACACTGTATGGCTAACGAAAGATTACATCATTTGGAATTTCATGCCGGATGGAAAATTCACAACAAGACCGGCATACCACGCGCAATTCATTGGATCAGCGACGATCAATTTCTAACGACTGATTTTGGAAAGTCTGGGCGCCACCAAAATGCAAGTTTTTTGGGTGGCTCGCCATCCAAAACAGAATCTGGACCTCCGATAGACTACAAGTGCGAGCATGCCAGTGTGTGTCCAAATAGACACAGTCAAGAATCTAAGTACATCTCTTTCAAGACTGTTGTTACACTAGACGTATTTGGGAGGGCATTGCAATATGGCTAGACAACGAACACCTGCGACCTTTTCCGCCTGGGTGTTAGGAGACTCCGTACAAGTTTGGTGGGAAAACTTAGATCGAACACCTTCGACGGCGAGGCGAGACTACGCTCCATTATTATTCTTGTTTGTTGGGAGGTGCGGAATGAAAGAAATGCAAGAATCTTTTTGAGCACAAAGCTAGAATCCGCACCAATGCATCTCCTCCAGAAGATCAAGGAAGAGGCTGGCTTATGGGCAATGGCAGCAGCAAAGCATATCTCCAATTTATTATTGCGCGTGTGATTTGAGGCCATCTGAGGTAGGGCATGTCGGGCTTTTGCCCTTTTGTACACAATTGTATATGTTTGTACACTATCTTTCTAGGCTTTCTTCTTTTTAATACAATAGGCAGCTCTCGTGTTGGTTCCGTTTCAAAAAAAAAAGATAAACTAAAACAAACAGGATGGTTTTCTTTTTCTTTCTTTATTTTTTATTCGAGTTGTTCTAGCTAGGTCTGGCATTGGAAAAATTTGTTGAGAACAAAACAAAATTCGTTAAAAGGAAAGGAGCCAGGATGTTAACAGGCAACAGCCAACACGTGAGTGGTTGGGGTGCTGATACCCTCTAGTAGTAGTACCCTGGCTGAGTGGATGTCTCGCCTCTCGCATACTAGTAGTAGACTAGTAGTAATGTAGTCAGGGGAGCTCGCCAGCCTCAGCAGAGGAACGGGTCGACGACGGAGGTGAAAACGAAAACGAAAACGAAAACAAAGCAAAAGAAATCGACTTGTCCTCGGACGAGCTCCACGACGACCGACTCCTGCTGCAGAATCAGTAGCGGCGGAGGGGTACTCCAGTACTCCTACTACATGTCAACGCCCCGACCGCAGCACGAACGCAAGTTGCACAAAAAAAAAAGATATCTGCCCTGTCATCGGGATCAGGCCGTAGCAGTAGTAGCGCTGAATCGTGAAGCCGTCAACGTTGAAAGGCGGAGACGGACACCGGATCGATCAATCAAAAGGTAAAAGGATGCGCATGCACAGTGCCTAGTAGTGCGTACGGCGCGACGCCGGTCGAAATGATTGCGCTACCCCAGACGCGACGGGCGCGACGCTGGGTGGGCTGGCCGGGCGGTCTTATCTCCGCGACCGCGCGCGGCCGGGTGATGCGGAGCGCGCGATGCCAGGGATACCGACGGCGACGCGCACGGCGTAGGCATGCGATGCGATGCGCTCGCGGATGGGTCCGGTCGATTGGACACGGGACGGGACGATAGCCTCCATCCCCTTCGGGGACTAGAAATAGAACAAATACACGACTCGACGACAAGTGCAATCATGTATTATTATTTGTAAATAAAGAAGGGCATCTGGAGCGCATTAGACTCCTACTAGTCCGATCCTATCTTGTACTAATAAGCTCGTCACAGTCATTGGTTAGTAAGCAAGTAAGCACAGGGAGGTGGGTGGGAGCCCAGCCCACTTGTGCTCGGGCGGGCGTCCACGTGCCGTACAGCCGGCCAGCACCAATCGTCTTGTCTAAGGTTTACAGCTTCTTTGTATCTGTGGGCACTACTACTAGCTAGTTTTATTTGGCTACGATTGCCGGTTGCAAAGGATTTAAGTTCATGTAAAACCATGAGGAGAAAATTAAAGATGCGTCTTACGAGTTACAGCAAAAAAAAAGTCAGAAATATATAAATGTCCCACGAACCACAGGTGAAGAAGGTATTGGCGGCACGAGAACAGGTGTCTATATCGTTAATTAATCTTCCAAGTGGGATGGTGATTGTCGCATGAAACGGTGGTCTACTTTCTTTTTTTTAGCTGTAGAAGATTAGTTGACAGTGAAGAACTCAGCATCAAATAGACGGTTAATCATCCACCTACACCTACTAGATAAGTATTTGATATGTTCATCAATAGCGAGTTGCATGTAGTTGATTAATTAGCCTCTTAGAACATACTTTTTTTTAACCCGAGTATATAGCATATATGAGCGGTGTATATAGCTAGCTTTCCGTACGTGTCTTATCTATACTATATATATATACTACTCCCTCTATCCCAAATTGTAAGTTATTCCAATAATCTTGGAGAATCAAACTTTTTCAAGTTTAACTAAAATTATAGAGAGAAACACAAAGATTGATGACATCAAATAGGTATAATATGAAAATATAACTAATGAAGAATCTAATGATACTTACTTGGTATGATAAATATTATTATTTTATTATATAAATTTGGTCAAACTTGAAAAACTTTGACTCTCCAAAATTCTTGGAATAACTTACAATTTGGGACGGAGGGAGTAGTATATTATAGTGGTTGTTTCTTTAGTGCACATGTGATGGTCGGTAAAGCGTATACACCTCACCCGGCTAGGGCCTCGATCGTGGATGCGTACCCACAGAATTGAAACAGACGTGAAAGAAAATATACGTACGGACCACTAGCGGCCGTGTACTTTTCTATTCATTCCCCGCTGGTCAGCAAAGACTTCTATCATTGCTTTATTATATTCATTTCACAATGAATCAACGACAGCCTGTGTACTATGTTTTTTTCTTTATAGCTACGTGCACGACGGCACTGCACACCTTACAGCGACAGCCTGTGTCCTGTGATGGTGCCGTCCCCAAACACCGTTAATTAAACGTTGCAAAGGCCAAGCAAGCTCTACTAGGCCCTGCTTTACGCTTACAGCACGATAGCAGATACTAGTACTACATACCTTTTTTTTTCGTTAGAGTTTTAATGCACCTTTTTAAAGCTATTATTATATCGATCATGCGCTTTGCAAGGAATTGTCAATTCAGTTGTCGGAAAAACTGAAGAATTTACTTTCCCAC